AGTGCATATTATTAGCGAATAGCGCTCAGATCCCACACACATAGTTCAATCGCCATGGAGTCAAAGTTCTTGCAGTCCTTCGGTATACGAATGACTCCATGGGAAGGCTATCTGGGTTAAGTCCTTTCGTATGCTTCAAACCTCCCGAACGGCCGGTATTCGTATGCTTTCGTGGAGGCAGCCAGGCGTTCCGTTGTTTCAGCGGTGTTCGGCAGAAAAAGTGTCCGTTTTTAGTTGCATAGAAATAGAGCCAAACACCTCTGGGCTTTCGCGTGGTTTAAAATGGCCACTGCCTCGTGGTCGACATACGAATGACGACCACCCTGAATTCGTTTAATTGAGAAGTGTCTGCGGTTAACCACAACGTTCTAATTGGGATCAATTCTCTCTTGGGTGGCCGTCCGTTCGGTAGGTTTGTTCGGAAAAAAAACAGTCATTCTGTGCTATAGAAACAGCCATTTACACGAAATGGAGCAGAAATAGACGAATCCACCACAATAGGCAGGCAGATGCTTCTGTCACACGGCTCCCTCCTTGTGGGACACTCCGGCAGACCCGGCTTGACCCTGTGGCGGGTCAACTTGGGGATGACCGGACTAAGATGTGGTGGAGACGTCTGTTTGCCGAGATAACCCATCTGCATTCCCGTTCAGCTTACCGGGTCTGTAGCTGATTGTAAAATTGTAGGGCTGCAATGCCAAGCTCCATCTCAGTAGTCTCCCATTGTCTCCTGAGACCCGGTTAAGCCAAACGAGTGGGTTATGATCCGTCACCAGGGAAAACTCTTGCCCATACAAATAGGGACTTAACTTTTTCAATGCCCAGACCAAGGCCAAGCACTCCTTCTCCACTGCCGCATAACTCACTTCTCTGGGTAACAACTTTCTGCTGAGATATGCGACAGGGTGCTCTCCTCCATCCTTCCCGACTTGGCTCAGCACAGCCCCCAGTCCATACATGGAAGCATCTGTGTGGACGAGAAAGCGTTTGTTAGGGACTGGGGCAGCCAAGACATGGGCATTCACAAGGGCCTGTTTTAGTGCCTGGAACGCAGCTTCACAAGCCGGAGACCACAGGACCTGCTTAGGCAAGTTCTTCTTGGTCAGGTCTGTCACGGGCTTAGCAAAAGTGCTGTAGTCAGGGACAAAACGTCTGTAGTACCCTGCCATCCCCAAAAAGGCCAATACCTGGGTCTTAGTGGTAGGTGTGGGCCAGTTAGCCACCGCCTCTACCTTGACTGGCTCTGGTCTCTGGCTCCCACACCCCACTCTGTGACCCAGGTACTGTACTTCAGCCATACCTAGATGGCACTTCTCCGGCTTCAATGTCAGGCCAGCGGCCCGAATTTTATCCAGCACTACCCCTACATGTACCAGGTGTTCCTCCCAGGACCCACTGTAAATCGCAATGTCGTCCAAGTATGCACAGGCAAATTCTTGGAAGCCATCCAGGAGTCTATCCACCATCCGTTGGAAGGTAGCCGGTGCATTTTTCATCCCAAAAGGCATGACTTTAAATTGGTACAGGCCAAATGGGGTGACAAATGCCGACTTGGGGATAGCATCCTCGGCCAGGGGGATCTGCCAGTAGCCCTTACACAGGTCTATGGTGGTCAGATAGCGCCCCCTGGCAATACGATCTAGTAATTCGTCTACCCTGGGCATTGGGTAGGCGTCAGTGGTGGTCCGCTCGTTGAGCCGCCTGTAGTCCACACAGAACCGGGTGGTCCCATCTTTCTTGGGCACCAGGACTACAGGTGAAGCCCAAGGGCTGTCAGAGTGCTCGATGACCACAAGCTGGGTCATCTCCTGTATCTCCTTCCGCATTCCTTCACGGACTGCTTCAGGGATACGATAGGGGGGCTGTCGTAAGGGGGTCTGTCCAGGGGTCTCTACCTTATGTACAGCTAGGGTGGTATAACCTGGCTCCTTGGAGAACGTCGCCTGCTTCTCCCACAACAACTGTTGTGCCTGTACTCTTTCTGTGGGGTTCAACCTGTCCCCAAGCTGTACAAGGGTAGTAAGGTCAGTCTGGGAATCCCTTTCTAACAAATCTGGGAGGGGTAGATTCTCAGAATCATCTGCAGCTGGGGCACATACTGCTGCAATATTCTCAGGTCTCTCCTGGTACTCTGTCAGCATGTTCACATGAAAGGATCGCTGGACCCTCTCATCTGCACAGCTGGCTATCAAGTAAATAGTATCGCAGATCTGCGCTACTACCTTGTACGGGCCCTGCCAAGATGCTTGCATCTTGTTGGCCTTCACAGGTTTGATCACCAATACCTTTTGCCCAAGCTGGAAGACCCGCTGTCGGGCACCCTGATCGTACCATCTCTTCTGTCTCCCCTGGGCCGCATGGAGATTTTCCCTTACCATCAGGGACAGTTTCTCCATGCGGTCCCAGAGTTCCAGAACATATGGCACGATGGGGGTCCCCTCTTGCTCTGTCTCCCCCTCCCAGTGGCCCCGAATGAGATCTAGGCGTCCGCGGACCCTTCTCACATACAGCAACTCAAAGGGGGAGAACCCAGTAGATTCCTGGGGCACCTCTCTGTAAAAAAATAACAGATGAGGCAGGAATCTCTCCCAGTCTCTGCAAGTATCTGTAAAGGTCCTCAGCATCTGTTTGAGGGTACTGTTAATGCGCTCACAGAGACCGTTAGTCTGTGGGTGGTAGGGTGAGCTAAGTAACGGCTTAATGCCACACACCTTCCACAGCTGCTAGGTGAGCACAGCGGTGAATTGAGTTCCCTGGTCGGAGAGGATCTCCTTAGGGAACCCGACCCTAGTAAAAATTCTAACCAGGGCATCAGCAACCGTCTCTGCCTCTATATTAGACAGCGCTACTGCCTCTGGATAGCTAGTGGCATAGTCCACCACGGTAAGAACGTATTTCTTACCTGATGGACTAGCCCTGGCCAGTGGACCCACAATGTCAACAGCTATGCGGGCAAAGGGCTCCCCTATAATAGGCATCGATAATAGCCTAGCCTTAGGGTGGTCCTCCCGCTTTCCTACCCGTTGACATGTGTCACACGTACTGCAATACATCCGCACAGCCTTGTTAAAGTTTGGCCAAAAGAAGTTCTGTGAGATCCTATAGGCTGTGCGGCGGGACCCTAGATGTCCAGCTAACGGAACATCATGCCCTATCCGCAGAATCTCCTGCCGGTACTTTGCAGGTACCACTAACTGTCGATTCGGCGGAGGGGCAACACTCTTCTGGGAGGGCTTAGGGATCCTATATAACCTGTCCCCCACCCACTCATACCGCTCCCCATCTACTCCTTCCTCTCCAGCATCTGCCCTGTCTCTGTACTTTTGGAGGGTCGGATCTGCCCGGGTTTCCCTCCCAAACTCCTCTGGGGAATCCCAGCTTAAGGGGACCTGATCTAGGGTACCAGTCGGGGAAGGAGATCTTACCTGGGTCTCATCAGCAGGTGGGCCGGTTCCAGAAGCTCAGGTCTGAGCACGGGTAGTCACTGGGTTAATGTCCGCAGCGCCCATCGGGCATAGGCTGAAACCAAAGGGGCCAAATCATTCCCCAGAAGAACATCCGCGGGCAAGTTTTTCATCACCCCCACATCCACGTGTCTAGTGCCCACTCCCCAATCCAAATGAACCCGGGCAACAGGTAAACGAAACACGGCACTCCCTGCTACCCTCACCGCCACAGTGTCCCCTGTATGCCGGTGCTCCGAGACCAGGTTCTTTTGGAGCAGTGTCATGGTGGCTCCTGTGTCTCTTAGCCCATTCACCACCCTGCCATTCAGTTTCACCATCTGCCAATGTTGCTGGCGATTATCCTGGTGAGCTGCTTGCACTGGGTCGGCCTCGTGTAGGATGCCCTAGAACTCCTCCTGCTCTATGCAGTGAGCATTAGGCTGAGGTGGCCGCTGGTTCCCGTTGGCTGGTCTCCTCCAGGACTGGGCTTGGTTGGCACTGGTTCATTGGGCACTCTGGACGCTTGTGCCCCAACTGCTTGCACCCAAAGCACCGGATGGGTTGTGAATAATCCTGGGCATTGAATCTGGATGGTTGCACGTAGTTGTTCGTCGGTGGTAGTGCTGGGCTGCGGTGTACTGGGGGTTGGTAGGCTGAAGGAGCTGGAGGTACTGCAGGTCGATACTCCAGTCTGGCAGGGGCTTTGGTAGCTGTACTATCCAACTTACGAGCTTCTATATATTCGTCTGCCAGACGGGCAGCCTCGGGTAGGGTAGAGGGTTTTCTATCTCTGACCCACTCCCGGACCCCAGCAGGTAGTCTATCAAAGCAGTGCTCCAGTAGGAACACCTGTAGCACCTCCTCCCCAGTTACCGCTTGGCATCCTGCCATCCAGTGGGCTGCGGTACGGAAAACCCTGCAGGCCCATTCTACATAAGAGTCACCAACCTGCTTGTTGGTTTCCCTAAATCGCCTTCTGTAAGCTTCTGGGGTCACCGCATACCTGGCTAGGAGCACATCCTTCACAGCCCGGTAGCTGGTGATCTCCTCCTCTGGGATGGCCCGAAACGCTTCACTACGCCGGCCGGATAATTTCCCAGAGATGAACCATTCATCTGCGGGCACCTAGTGTAGGGCACACTGCCTCTCAAAGTCCGCCAGGAACCCATCAATCTCTCCCTCTGTTTCCACAGATTTTTTAAACGCAGCAAAGGGTACCTTTTTCCTAGCAAAATTGTTATTGGGTACCTCTGCTGCTGCAGCTCCTCTTTCCCGGAGCACCTGGTGTGCCGTTACTGCTGCCTGCACACGCTCCACAATGTCTGCTGAGGGGTTGGGGCCAAAATGTGCCAGCCTTATTTGCACTGCCCGGTTAAATTGTAATTCCTCGTGTGTTAAATCCAAAGTACTGGGCACATTAGCTCTCTCCATTCCCGAACGGCAATACACGAATTGCTGCTAGCCGCCGAACAATAACATGCACCAAGCGTCTTTCGTTTCCATCCAGCAGTCTCTAAACGTGAAGAAGAAATCCCCCCAATAACGAGACAGAAGCTCCGCATTGAGGGTCAAACAGGATCTGGCTTTACTGTGGGCTACCTGCCCGTATTTATGCAGGTCTCCCACTTGGTGGACACTCCCCTAGGGGACCAAATGGGAGACTTAAATGACAGAAAGATATGGGGACATTCCAGACACATAGACACAGTTTTTACCCACAATGATTCCCTCCCCTCTGCCCTGGAGATAATTACCAATTAACTCAATTATCTCCAGGACAAAGCCAGTCGCCATTTTAAATATAAAATCATAAAAGACATAAAAATACATAACTTTAAAATAACCGAACATTTCCCATTCGTATCACATATCCCCTGATAGCCTGGATCTGAGTGCATATTATTAGCGAATAGCACTCAGATTCCACACACATAGTTCAATCGCCATGGAGTCAAAGTTCTTACAGTCCTTCGGTATACGAATGACTCCATGGGAAGGCTATCTGGGTTAAGTCCTTTCGTATGCTTCAAACCTCCCGAACGGCCGGTATTCGTATGCTTTCGTGGAGGCAGCCAGGCGTTCCGTTGTTTCAGCTGTGTTCGGCAGAAAAAGTGTCAGTTTTTAGTTCCATAGAAATAGAGCCAAACACTGCTGGGCTTTCGCGTGGTTTAAAATGGCCGCTGCCTCGTGGTCGACATACGAATGACGACCACCCTGAATTTGTTTAATTGAGAAGTGTCTGCAGTTAACCACAACATTCTAATTGGGATCAATAGGTTAACCAGCAGCACACTTCTCTCTTGGGTGGCCGTCTGTTCGGTTTGGTTTGTTCAGGAAAAAAACAGTCATTTGTATGGCTGGGCTATAGAAACAGCCATTTACACGAAAGGGGGCAGAAATAGACGAATCCACCACAATAGGCAGGCAGATGGTTCTGTTACAAAACCCACTGGAGAGGTGGAGATAAAGAATATACCCTTGGATATGCAGAAATGAAGTGGATGTTTGAACTGGATACTATGGTCCCAAATGGCCTGAATGTTGATTTCGAAATTAATAAGTATATGTAATTTTAACTATATTTTATTTCGGATCTTTTAAATAAATATCTATACGAGGTATCTTATATATGCATTACCTTTACTCCAAATTCTATTAATTTTAATTTTAATTAGATTTTTCAACTTATATTCACATTGTACACTTTTATATTTTTTATATTAAATTTTTTATTAATATTTAGAATATTTTTTCTCCGGGGAATAATACCCTTTGTAAAATTTCCTCTTGATACTATTTTTAGTTCAAAATCTACTTATTTGTTACTATTCTCCTTTTATTATTATTGAATATATCATTTGGGACTTATTTATTATTACTCTTTATGATGTTATTAATCCCTTTTCCTTTCATTCTTCATGGTCTTATTTTATATTGTGGAGTTTGTATGCTTCATGCATCAAATCCGTATGGACTTTCTATTATGACGGTTCCCACACGTCATATTCACCGGAACCAGAAGTGACGTCAGGACGTGACGACGCAGGACGCGTCCTGACGCCAGAACCCGGAAGTGAAATGCCGGGAAGACGGCGAAAACGGCGCCAAACCAGGTTTAAAAGGGACTTCTCGCCAGAACAGAATACAGCACCTCTGATGAAGGCTTTGTGCCAAAACGCGTATGGTGGATCCTAAGGACATTTTGGTACTTTCTTATTTATTTGGGACTTTCCTTATTTTATTTTTTTTTTGCAGTGTTTTTTACTTATATTAAAGTTTTTGTTTAAATCTTCAACCTGCGTTCCTGACTTGTGCATCAATCCTGGGAAGATACCCATCACAAGTTCTGTTCCAGCCCTTAGGAATTTTTCTGTTCAAGGCGTGTAGCTTGAGCCAGCTTCTAATTGGCTCCCAGTATGTGAGTGCAATTAACCCATTACGTCATTTGTTTTATCTGACGTTATTACCCTATGTTATTTTCTGTTTCTTTTTCAGACATTTTCAAATCAGTGGGTAATATTATTATTCTGTATTGAGTACTCTCACCATCCTTCTCTATTTTATCACTTGTGTTTATTTTAGTGGTAATTGTGGCCCACTAAGGTGATTGTAGCACCAGTGTTTGTCCATTGTTCATTGTTTTTTTTACCGTGCATTTTATCTTTCATTTATTGTTTGCACCAGTGGTGTTTGGTCATCAAGTGTCTGGAACCCAAATTGGACACTCGACCACGCAAACACCGCAGAGACCTCCATGCTCAACCCAATTCGTGGAAACTCAAGAGAACAGAACGACGTTCGGTGAAAAGAATCATATGAATGAGGGGAATCCTACAAACCCAGGCAAAACCCATTATATTAGACATTTTCGTGCTTTTCACCTCACGAACGGAGACCGACCTCAAGGCCAAATCACATGGAACTATCTTCGGCTTACACCTCATGTGCGGTCCGTGAAACTAAGACCTCCATAAAACTTTCGAACCCGATCTGGGTGATTTTTCAGTATGTTGCCCCCCAGATCGGGTCAATCAGAGGGTATGTAAATTATGGGTGTATGGTATTGTTTTGGGGTGCATCTAAGAATTGGGGAAAAATGTGTTCTATAACTTCTATGTAATTAAGTTAACTCTCAGGCTGAGGGGAGGGAAAATGTTACTGTATTCAACCCTGGATTGGCTGATGCCTTATTCTTTGTGGATGTCTCCCTTGCATGGGAGAAATGTATAAAAGCTGAGTGTGTGATTAAAAGATCAGTTCTGCTCCTGATACTGTGTGTCGTCCAGTTATTGTGAAAAGGTGATGGGAGATTCGTGGATTACTTTATGTACTACTTATGCTGTTCTTCTTATGATAACCTACTTGTTCCTGAGTAACTATTGGAATACCAGCGGAGGAAAGTCTATGTTAAACTAGCACTCCGCTACAATGTATATTTAACCATAATTTGTTTTTTGATTTACTGAGTAGGTTTGGGTGAGAACAACCCAATAAAACCATACTCAATATTTTTCCTAATTTTCAATATTCAGTTTCTACACCGAAGGTTGCGGGACAATTAGAAGGATATCAGTAGACAAATCTTGCAAAGTTTTGTAAATATTCATTATGTTTGCTGAAAAGGAGGATTTAGGGTTTTTCAAACAAATTCAGTAGAAAATTACCCATTCCTTTTATTGACTGCACACTATCCCGTCCATGTCTACTTGGATAAAACGCAAGATTATCTTCAAGCTTTGCGTTATTGTGAATGTTAATTGAAATGTATGGATTTGCAGAACATCATTTATATCATTGTCTGGAACGTACGTCTGTCGGCCTTTCTTACTTTGTGTATTTAGCATATTGTTAGAATTATACTGGTAGCCACCTGCTCTCCATGACAATCCTTTAACCACTCTCTCCAAAACACACACACACACAAGAAGTATGTTGTTTAATCTTTGTTTCACAGAGGGTGTTTTGGAGAAATTAAATTGAAACCAGGTAAAGAAAAGCCATTTTTTTTCGTTCCATGAGGATAATATTAAGATAATATTTAGCATGTCAATCAATATTTTTTTAGCACAAGAAAATCAATGAGCAAGCTCACAACTGCTCCTAATTTAGATGTAAATATCTCTGATGAAACATTGTACTACATGCTGTTATCAATAAAAAATGATTTCCCCCAAGAATCCTTTCTCGAATACTTAGAATGTTGCTATTCACTTGATACAATCACATATTTTTTAGATTCAAGTGGATACACAGGGGAAACACATAACCTTCCTAGCAAGGACATTAAACACAAGGTAACAGAATGCCCATTTTCTGCAAAATCAAAATCCACTTAAAGGGGCAACCATCATAGATTAAAAATTGATCACATGGAAAATACAATTTTCTAACTGTAAGAATTATATACATATCCCATAGCTGAAGTTATGGTAATTAAAGTGACAGTGTTATATTTATATAATGGGAGGAGACAGACAGGGAAGGGAAAAAAAACTCCCTAAAAATAATGTTATAACAGCCATCTCTATCTGTAGTATCTGAGAGCTGGCATTTTAGGTTGTGCAATCATTAACAAGTGGAACATTTGGCAAAATCCAAACACTAACTCTAATCAACTTAGTTCATGGAATAAACAGATACTGTAACAGACACACAGTATTTTATACAGACACTGTAGCAGACACACAGTATTATATACAGACACTGTAATGGATACACACTGTGTTACATACAAACACTGTAGCAGACACACAGTGTTATATACAGACACTGTAATGGATACACACTGTTACATACAGACACTGTAGCAGACACACAGTGTTATATACAGACACTGTAATGGATACACACTGTGTTACATACAAACACTGTAGCAGACACACAGTGTTATATACAGACACTGTAATGGATACACACTGTGTTACATACAAACACTGTAGCAGACACACAGTGTTATATACAGACACTGTAATGGATACACACTGTTACATACAGACACTGTAGCAGACACACAGTATTATATACAGACACTGTAACAGACACACAGTATTATATACAGACACTGTAATGGATACACACTGTTACATACAGACACTGTAGCAGACACACAGTGTTATATACAGACACTGTAATGGATACACACTGTGTTACATACAAACACTGTAGCAGACACACAGTGTTATATACAGACACTGTAATGGATACACACTGTGTTACATACAGACACTGTAGCAGACACACAGTATTATATACAGACACTGTAATGGATACACACTGTTACATACAGACACTGTAGCAGACACACAGTATTATATACAGACACTGTAACAGACACACAGTGTTATATACAGACTGTAGCGGAGAGGTGGTATAATCCACAGTATCTCCACTGGGTAACAGGAACAGCATAAAATAATCCAGGTAAATAAATACAGCATACAATAATCCTGGTAGTGTTGTAAGAATCCTTCCCTCCCAAGAACTAGACGACACATAGGCTGAGTTTTTATTCACAAGTCACAGTATTTATGCAAGTCCCCATGCAAGGGGTTTCCCTACTGACATTGCAGGGGTTATACAGTAGGGGATCACATGGGGAATTTAACAACCTGGACATTTCTCCTATCATGCACTGCTGGACGAGAGAGATACTCCCACTAGAATATACAGTTAAGTGGATTATCCCTCTGTGCAGCAGAGCCAATATTTCACATTAAAATATATAACTTTCACATTATTCACTCTATTTAAACGAATGGACGTTCGGTAGATAGCTGGGGTCTGAGCGTACAGTTCGTGAGAATAC